GGAGGGGCCCGGTTACCCAAAAAAAAAAAAAAAAAAAAAAAAGAACAGCATACCGCTAGGGTTGGTGTAAAGGTGGCAGCTGTAACTGGGTTGGTGAGAGCAGAGATCTGGACCCAAGAAAGACCAAGGGAGAGATCAAGGTCCTGCGCAAACCTGGAGATCTGTGGAGATCAAACTCGGGTCCAAGACTTTGGTGTTTTTGATTTTTGTTTTGTTTTGTTTTGTTGACTCCTGGTGACCCAGAGCCATACCGATGTGTGCAAGGATGTTTGCCCATACACTAAATGGTCCTAGATCACTGTTGACGAAATGGGAAAAAACTTGTTTTGTTCAAGAATCACCTTTACCTGTAAGTCTAGTCGGCAGGTAGAACGAGGCCTTTGCGGGGCCTGTAATAGTCATAGGCCAAGGAAGACTGCATCTCCCAGGGGTTGTTTTCATTTTCTCTTCTCAGTTATGCCCCTTCTGTTTGAACTAACAGGAGCCTGACCACTGGAAAAATGGGGGAATTGTTGTAGTATTATCATTTTAATCCCTCAAGAGCGATGGTCATGTCTTCAACCACTAAAGAATAATTACAGGAAAGGTTTTCAGATAATTTCTTGCAATATTTAACAAAGTGTGTAGAATGATTTCCACACTGAATATTTTTAAGACCCTTTAATGATGGTCCCAGAAAGATTATTTTTTCCCCAGAGTGGTTATGAGATCTCTCCTCCACCACCCTCCCCAGCTATCGCCTCCAGGGATCACTTGTTGGCTGGAAATGACCTGCCTTCCTTCCCCTTTCTCTCCTTAACCACGGGAGGTGCCGAGCTGCCCATAATGGCCTGGGTGAGCACTTTCTCCTGAAACAGTGAGCTCCCTTTCTCATTTCTCCACCCCTGTCCACTGTAGAGAATCCAGACCAGGGTCACAAAGTCTAATGTTTAAAAGGGCCAGGCTGCTACCCTAAATAAATGAAGTCATTCAGGTAGGACAGTGGGGAGACTAGAAAATAAGAGAGCCCTTGTGGGGGGCCGGGGGTCTCTGTTTCTCATACTCCAGCCATCTGTTGTCAGATGGAGTGTGGACCTGGAGTTGTCAGAAGTTCTGATATCGCAGGAAAATAAAAAAACTAAATAAAACAGGTTTTCATGTGACGTTTCCTGATTTTTAAAACTTTATGTGGGTTGCAAATTGTTGTAGCTTTCCAATTTTTAATCCGTCTCCATCCAGACCTTGGCTGGTGGCTGGGGCATGGGCTTGGTCTAGTGCTGAAGATCCAGATGGCAGTTCCCACTGCAGAACCTCACTGCGCTGGTAGGTCCTGGATGTCCCTGCACATCCTTTCCCCTCTGAACATCTTAGCCCAGGGTTCTTCCTCCCCACCTGGGCGGGGCATCTGCTGGGATTCCCTTCACCATGGTCTGGAGGAACACGGACTTTTCAGTGTGACTTGTGTGGCTGGAGGAAAACGCACGTGTGTCAAGGAGCAGCAGAGGCAGAGCTAAAGCCTGTCAAAGTGGTTAGTGTTGCCTTTTGGAGTTGGAATTTGGAATGTCTTCCCATGGAAACAATGTACAAACGAAGCCTAGGGTCTGCATCATCAATGGTTTTTATTCCGTCACCTGCCTTCTTAGTAAAATAGGTTTTAAAGTGATGTCTTTGCTATTGAACAGCCATTTTGAACATTTTGATTTTTGGGAAAAGGTGTTTCTAAGTTCCGAAGAGCTGAACTAAAAATGACTGCCTTGGGTGTCTATTTGAGTTCTATATATGTATACCCATTACTGTATCACAGTGATGTGTAATATGTAATTTAAAACAATTTATCAACAGTAATGAATGAAATATGAGCCCACCTCCCAGTCTGCATTCTAACTTTTTCCCATTCCTTTATGAGATTTAAATGCCTCAAATACTCCAACAGAATTATGTTTTTACTCTTGGGTTGAGCCAGTTGTTGTCTCTTTGAGGGTTTTCAATTCATTAAAGAATTCTATAGGAGCACAGTGAAGAGAGCCTTCAGAAAGACTCATTAAGAGGAAGAGGCTGACTCAGAATATCATTAACATTAAATTCTGTAAATTGGGTAAGAGGTAAAATAGAATCAATGTATCATACTCCTTAGTTTCCAGGAATTAAATTGGCCTTATGTTTGGTCCTAGATCAAAGATTAACAAGGCATGGTGTTCACTTGTTTTCTTCTAAAAATATAAACAATCCTTAAACCTCTCCTAAAAGGTGGTAATTTATTTTTCAGCTAAAGCAGAAAGCTAACCCATCTATTGGGACATAGCCACACTGTAATAGTGGGGTTTCCAATAGGAAATTGCTCTGCAATTAATAGGAACTTGTGCAAGTCATATAACCTTTCTAAGCCTCAGTTAACTTACCTGTAAAATGGGTGTAGCAAGGTGGTTTTGAGTATTACATGAGACAGAATTATTGGTATTATTACTATTATTTGTTTGGATCAGAGCTTTCTAGGCCATTTTAGAACTCAAGCTTTTATTTTCATAAAATTCACCCATTTAAAGTACACAGTTCAAATTCGCGGAGTTCTGTGACCATCACCACAGTCTAAGTTTAGAACATTTTCACCACCCCCAAAAGAAGTCTTGTACCTGTTAGAAGTCACTCATCCCTCCTCTCTCCCCTACAACTCCCTACAGCTTCAGGCAACCACTAATCTACTTTCTGTTTCCATAGATTTGCCTATTCTAGACATTTTATATGAATTGAATCATACAAAACATGATCTTTGTGATTGGTTTCTGTCACTTAACATAATGTTTTCAAGGTGCATCTATGTTGTAGGATGTGTCAGTACTCCATTCCTTTTTATGGCTGCATCATATTCCTTTTATTGCTGTATATTGCTGAAAATATACCACATTTTGTTAATCCATTCATCAACCGGTGGACATTTTAGTTGTTTCCACTTTTTGGCTATCATGAATAATGCCACTGTGATCATCCATGTACAAGATTTTGTGTGGATTTATGCTTTTGTTTTTCTAGGAATGGAAATGCTGACTCATATGGTAACTATATCTTTAACATTTTCAGGAACTGCCAAGTTGTTTTTCAAACTGGCTGCACCATTTTACATCCCCATCAGCAATGAATGAGGGTTTCAGTTTTTCCACATCCTCACCAACACTTCTGATTTTCCATTTTTAAAATTATAACCCTCCTAGTGGGTATGAAGTGGTATGTGAGTGTGGTTTTAATTTGCATTTCCCTAATAACTAATGATGCAGAGCATCTTTTCATGTGCTTATTGGCCATTTGTATATCTCCTTTGGAGAAACATCTATTCAGATTCTTGGCTCATTTTGTAGTTGGGTTAATTGAGTTTTATTATTGAGTTGTAAGAGTTCTTAATATGTTCTAGATACAAGTCCCTTATCTGATATATGACTTACAAATATTTCTAACCCAGTTTGTGGGTTGTCTGAATATTACTTTTAGTAACTGATAAATCTGGGCTTCTCTATATATATTTAATGCTTCCAAGCCCTCTTAACTGATTTGCACAAACTCTCTTTCCAGCCTCTGTTTCTCTACCTTGCTCTCCAGTCTGTGCACGAGCCCCTTCAGGTCCCTGAGGAATACCTGAAGCCATACGACTTTATCCAAGATAAGAATAGGCATTACTATGCAGGAATGGTGTCCCTTATGGATGAAGCAGTGGGAAATGTCACCACAGCCTTAAAAAGCCGTGGGCTCTGGAACAACACGGTGTTCATCTTCTCCACAGGTAAGTCCGTCAATAGGAAAATCATCTCTTGGCAGAGCCTAGGACATAGTATTCAATAAATGGAATGAAGATAAATTGGAGCATTTAGCAGTTCCTTATTAAAATAAATGCTAACTGTAAGAGTAGAGACATGATAATAATGGATAGAAAAATGTGTCTAAGGAAAAAGAATTATGAGCCTTCTCCTGTCTTCCTTCAGATATCAAAATATTCTGGGAGTATGCTTGAAAACAAGCTCTCAGTAACTGAGTAAGTGTGAGTGGACAACACTCCTATGCAGGGCAGCTGGGCAGTGAATCCCTAGACTGACTTGTTCTCAACAATCTCTACAGCCCAGGCATCCTCTGTGAAGAGGACTTCCGCTGACTAGAGGGGTCTCTGTATCAGTGCAGAGGCAGATGGTGACATTATGAAGACACTTAAGAAACGGAACCATTTAAATGTAGGCTAGAGTCTCCAAGTGTAGATTTTTTTATATTAAAATTTTCTTACAATAAAGTCATACATCACTGATTATAGAAAAAACAAAAGAAGGGAGAAAAAATTTTTGAAAAATCATTTCCATTATGGCAATGTCATTCTGATTCCTAATCTGTTATATATATGTGTTTTTTCCCCCCTTCTCATTAGACATGGTTTTCTAAAATTTCCCTATGATGTGCTTTGGGTGTAGATCGTGGTTTATTCATTATGCTGAGTATTCAGAGAGCACTTTCCATCTGAAAATGCAGATCCTTTTGTTATGGGAAATTTCCTTGTGTTCTTTATTTCAGAATTGTTGGGCCCTCCATCCCACCTTTCTCCTATTCTCTCTGTACAAAACTCCTGTTATTTGGGTATTGGATCAATCCTCTAATTTTCTTAGTTTTTTTCCTCCCGTATTTTCTTTATTTTTCTTCTACTACTTGGGAAATTTCCTTATCATTATTCTCTAATCATTCTGTTGAATTCATTGCAACCGCCATTTTTTTCAAGTCTACTTTATTTTTTTATTGGAGCGTAATTGCTTTACAATGTTGTGTTACTTTCTGCTATAGAACAAAGTGAATCAACTATATGTATACATACATCCCTTCCCTTGAGCCTCCCTCCCACTCCGCTGCCATCCCACCCCTCTAGGTCATCACAGAGCACCGAGCTAAGCTCCCTGTGCTATACAGCAGCTTCTCACTAGCTATCTATTTTACACATGGTAGTGTATATATGTCAATGCTACTCTCTCAATTCGTCTCACCCCTCCCTTCCCCGCCTGTGTCCACAAGTCCGTTCTCTACATCTGCGTCTCTTTTCCTGCCCTGCAAATAGGTTTATCGGTACCATTTTTCTAGATTCCATATATATGCGTTAATATACGATATTCATTTTTCTCCTTCTGACTTACTTCACTCTGTATGACAGACTCTAGGTTCATCCATATCACTACAAATGACCCAATTTCATTACTTTTTATGTCTGAGTAATATTCCATTGTATATATGTACCACATCTTCTTTATCCATTCATCTGTAGATGGACATTTAGGTTGTTTCCATATCCTGGCTATTGTAAATAGTGCTGCAATGAACATTGGGGTACATGTATATTTTTTTGTTTTTTATTTTATTATTATTTATTTTTGGCTGCATTGGGTCTTTGTTGCTGCACGTGGGCTTTCTCTAGTTACGGCGAGCAGGGCTCCTCTTCGTTGCAGTGCACGGGCTTCTCGTTGCTGTGGCTTCTCTTGTTGTGGAGCACAGGCTCTAGGTGCGCGGGCTTCAGTAGTTGTAGCACGTGGGCTCAGTAGTTGCAGCACATGGGCTGAGTAGTTGTGGCGCTCTGGCTGTAGGGTACACGGGCTTCAGTAGTTGTGGTACGCAGGCTAAGTAGTTGTGGCTTGTGGGCTCTAGAGCGCAGGCTCAGTAGTTGTGGTGCACAGGCTTAGTTGCTCCGCAGCATGTGGGATTTTCCTGGATCAGGGATCGAACACATGTCCCCTGCATTGGCCGGCGAATTCTCAACCACTGCGCCACCAGGAAAGTCTCTGGGGTACATGTATCTTTTTGAATTATGTTCTTCTCAGGGCATATGCCCAGTAGCAGCAACCACCATATTTTTTAATTGTCAAAAACTCTTTCCTGTTTTCTGATAACTCCTTTTTTGTAAAGTTTGTTTTTATTTTATAAATGTAATAATTTATTTCTCCAAAGCCTGTGCTCTTAACCATTAATTTTATATATATATATATATATATATATATATGTGAATGTGAGTGTGTATGTAGGTATGTGTATACATATACATATATGTGTGTATTAGGTATACACATACATGTATTTTTTTTACTTTTTAAAAATTTTTTCAGAGTATAGTTGCTTCACAATATTGTATATATTTTTAAGTTTGCTTGTACTCCCAACTTTGTCTCTTTCTCTTCTAAGGTCATTTGTATCTTATTTTGGTCTGTCTTTCATGAAGGAGGCTTTTTCAGATCCCTAGTGATCCTTGGCTAAAACCCAAAAATTTGATTGGAAACTCCAAGGGTGAGGCCAGGACTTGTCATCTGGTAAGTTTTACTGTAAAGTGACTGTGTGAGAAGTATGAGGTGTCACGTTGAGGAATTAATCTGGGTATTCTACTTAAAGATTTTTAAAAGAGTTGTTTTGTTTTGTTTTGCTTGTAATTAGGCATGGTTATGGAATGTAGCATTTACTGAGTACTTACCATGTGTGGGACATGGTTCTAAGTGCTTTACATGAATTAGTTCAGTTAATCCTCACAATAATTCTCTGGGGACTCTTATTATCCCATCTTGCAGATGTGAGAACTGAAGCACAGAGAGGCTAAGTAACTTGCCTAAGGTCACACAGCCAGGCAGAGTGAGGTATCACCCTTTCTGCCTCTGACACGATGATCTGGAAGTTCTGACTGGACCTCAAGATATAGCAGTGCTTTCCCCGAGGTGTGCTGCAATTTTGATTTGTTGAGAAGCCTCAGCAGGGCCGGGGTAGCATCCACCCTGACCAGCCTTTTTCAGTTGCTTTAGTGCTATACAAATACTATAATTTTCTAAGTGTGTCCTGCTGTGAAAAAGGTTGAGTACAGATAACATATGTTTTCCCCAAAAAACTTACCCTTCAGAAAAGAGGGCAACATCTTATACTTAAGTCCTTACAAGTTCTCTCATAGTCCGAGAGTCGTTTTCAATTTCCTTTATTTTGAACAGCCTGGTAAAGCACTTTGATCAGTGCTGGTATTGAATGCTTATAGAGGTCACTGGAAAGAATCAATTAAAAAGGAGTCCAAGACGTTTAATACTGATTTAGTAATTATTCCTGGGAAATGACCTCACTGTTTTAAGAATTGGAAGTTATAAGTTTGTGAAACAAGCCTTTGTTGTAGATATCACAATTATACAATTTAAGGATAAATTATATCCTGAAATGAACGTATATATGGATTGATGTATCATACATAGACTGAGAAGTACTCAGACAGCAGTGAAAATGGTAGCTCTGGAAAACTGTTAAACGTCTCAGGGTGGCTCCTGTAACAACAGATACTGATGTCAAGTGTGCGTGGGGAGAGGTTTTTTCATAATAAGTGAGGGTGGAAAACAATATTTTAAGATCTGTATATCTCTTTTATTTTATGATTTCAAATGTTTATACATAGACATATTTTAAATAGATAGTTGACTATTTCATAAATATCCATGATATTTATTCAAGTCGGCAAAAGTAATTTTTGGAGCTTTACACTGAGAAAATGGGAATTCCCTTATAATTGGGTTGCCCTATTCTGACAGTTTGATATATTAATAGATATATTAGTCTTGGACCACCTTTGCTTTGTTGAGCTAAATCCAACTTTATAGTGCATATGTATTTTAATTATACTTCTGGATTCAGTTTGCTAGGGTTTTATTTGGAAGATTTGCGTTGATTTAAAAGTAAAAGTGGAGTAGGTGGTTTCTTTTCTCCCTGTTGGGTTTTGTTGTATTGGTTATACACATGTCATAAAATACTTGGGAAGTTTTTCCATCTTTTTCTATGCTCTGGAACACTTTGCAGATTGTTTGAAAGATCCCTCTGGTAAGCTGGTCCCTGGAACCGTTTTAGGAGGCTTAAAAAAATTATCTCCATAGTTTAAATTTTTGGCTTAATTATATCTAGGGGTGTGGGTCTTTAAAATATTTTAAAATTAATTTTGCCTGAAATACAGTGAGCCCTTTGATCTGCATGCTGAGATTATTTTTCACTCCAGGAAGTCTTCCTTGTTCATATTTTAGCTTATTGCTTTTGTTCTGTTTGATTTAATTCTCAAAAATGTCTTTAATTAGTAGGCTGAATTACTGACTCAGCTTTTCTTTCATCAGTTTCAGTTTTTCATCCTTTTTCTCAGTCTGCTGGAGCTCTTTTGCATTACCAGTTAGACATTTGTGCAGTTTTAATGCTGCTCTTTAATATCTCCAGTGGAGATTACTATTGATAGTATTTTTAGCATCTTTGCAATCCTTTCTTTGCCTCAATCAGTTCTTTTTTCTTTTAAGTTTCTTAGTAATAATAATGACTACTGGTTATTAAATATTTACTGCATCCCAGGCCGTTCTAGTGCTTTTCCTATACTTTCTCATTGTTAATCATGTTTTAATCATTTAAAGTTCCAAGTAGCATTGTGAAATGTGTTTCTTTATCCCTACTTTAAAAATGAAGAAACCGGGCTTACCTTGGTGGCGCAGTGGTTGAGAGTCCACCTGCCGACGCAGGGGACACGGGTTCGTGCCCTGGTCCGGGAGGATCCCACATGCTGCGGAGCGGCTGGGCCCGTGAGCCATGGCCGCTGAGCCTGCGTGTCCGGAGCCTGTGCTCTGCAATGGGAGAGGTCACAACAGTGAGAGGCCCGTGTACCTCAAAAAAAAAAAAGAAGAAACCAAAATTTAAAGAGGTGAAGTGATTTGCCCAAGTCTACTGCTATGGTCTGAATGTTTGTGTTCCCCCCAAATTCATATGTGGTGGTGTTGG